CATCGCTATTTACATAGCATTTACATTGTATTTGTTATTGTAAGTAATTTAGACATGATTTAAAGTATGCAGGAGGGTTGGGCTTGGTGGCTCATGCCTGTAATCCCAGCACTTTGGAAGGCCGAGGCGGGTGGGTCACCTGAAGTTAGGAGTTTGAGACCAGCCTGGCCAACATGGTGAAACCACGTCTCTACTGAAAATACAAAAATTAAGGCCGGGCGCAGAGGCTCATGCTTGTAATCCCAGCACTTTGGGAGGTCAAGGCAGGCGGATCACCTGAGGTCAGGAGTTTGAAACCAGCCTGGCCAACTAGCAAAGCAAAATCACCAGGCTTGGGGGCTCACGCCTATGATCCCAGTACTTTGGGAGGCTGAGACAGGTGGATCGCTTGAGTCCAGGAGTTCGCTTGAGACTAGTCTGGGCAAGGTGGTGAAACCCTGTCTCTACAAAAAAATACATAAATTAGCTGAACATGGTGGTACATGCCTGTAGTCCCAGCTACTTGAGAGGCTGATGTGGGAAGATCACCTGAGCTTGGGGGGTGGAGGCTGCAGTGAGCCATGATTGTGCCACTGCACTCTAGCCTGGGCAATAGAGCAAGACTCTGTCTCAAAAAAACAAAACAAAACAAAAAATGGTGCAAACCACAGCTGAGTGGGGACTGCTGTAGGTGTGGCTGTATTGCTGTTTTTAAGCATAAGGCCGCTGATCCAGGCCGGAACCCAGGCTGGGATTTGTGCCCATTCCATTTGCACAGGGAGCTCCTCCAGCCTTGCTGGGTTCACTAATTTCTGCTCATGACTCAAAGAGGGAGAGGCTGGGTCAGGACAGCCTATCTCAGCTCCTGCAGAAGTAGAAAAACAAGTAGTGCATCGCAGGGGCATTTAGGACTCTTAGGGTTACCCTGAACCGGTCAAAATAAACAACTCCTTCATGAAATTCAGATTGCTCTGCAAGGGCATTTCACTCCGGAAAGGACACTGTAATTACTGCCAGTCTCTCTTCCCATCAGAGGTTAGATTTCTGAGCAAGCGTGGGATACATACCTTTGGAGACTTGGCTGCAGACACTATATTTAATCCACTGTCATGAATTATCCCTTTGTGTTCTGTGTGAATCCAAGGAGATCTTATCAGTCATGCAGAGGTGGCCTGTCCGGTCACTGTGTGACTGTATTAGCCACAGTGCAGACTCTGCAGAGTCCTCTTCCTGGATGCTCGCCTCCTGGTTACTGCGAAGCCTTTGATGGGGAAGGGGGCTAAGAGTTAACCTTGAGGCTAGGCTAGGTGACTCACAGCGGTAATCCCAGCACTTTGGGAAGCTGAGGCGGGCAGATCATTTGAGCTCAGCAGTTCGAGACCAGTCTGACCAACATGGTGAAACCTCGTCTCTACTAAAAATACCAAAAATTAACCAGGCATGGTGGCAGGCACTTGTAATCCCAGCTACTCGGGAGGCTGAGGCATGAGAATCGCTTGAACCCGGGAGGTGGAGGGTGCAGTGAGCTGAGATGGCACTATTGGATTCCAGGCTGGACGACAGAGTGAGACTCCATCTCAAAAAAAAAAACCAGCCAACCAACCAAACAAACAAAAAGAGTTAACCTTGAGACTCCAGGGGAGTTTTTTTTTTTTTTTTTTTTTTTGAGATGGAGTCTCACTCTGTCACTAGACTGGAGTGCAGTGGCGTGATCTCAGCTCACTGCACCTCTGTCTACCAGGTTCAAACGATTCCCCTGCCTCAGCTGCCTGAGTAGCTGGGACTAACAGGCATGCGCCGGCTAATTTTATGTATTTTAGTAGAGATGGGGTTTCACCATGTTGGCCAGGCTGGCCTTGAATTCCTGCCCTGAAACGATCCTCCACCTCAACCTCGCAAAGTGTTGGAGTTACAGGTGTGAGCCACCATGCCTGGCCCACACATATTGTCGATTGCTTTGCAAATTGCTCTAAGCTAAGATTATAGCTGGTGGTATGCTGTTTTGCCACTGCATTCAGGTTCTGTGCTGATACCTCCCGGGTGTGTCGTCCGGCCCAGCCCCTCCCTCGCTCTGGCAGTGTGTGGCATCTCCATCCAGATGTCCGGGCGACATTTCACATGCAGCAGGTCCAGGCATGAATTCTCAGCTTCCACCCCCGTCTGCCTCCTTCCCTCCCCGAGACTGTCCTGTGTCAGTACCCTGCTCCACTGAGTGGGTGGCTCAAGCCAGGAGCCCGAGGGCCCATTTCATCAACACGTGCAGCTCAAGGTGCCTCTGCAGCCTGTCTCATGTGGGTCATTGTCCATACTGTCACTGTCCTTGTCACTGACAGACTGGGCCAGCCCCATGCATTTTCCTGGAAGACGGCCTCAGCTTCTTACTGGTCCTGCTCCCACGTCCCCATCCGTGCTCCATACAGCAGCCAGAGTGGTCTTTAGAACAGAAATAGTGACAGGTCCTTCTTCTTCCAGGCCTTTGGATGCTTCTCCATTGCTAGCACAAAACCCTGCCACCTCCCACCGGCTGCCTCTGCCTTCCTCTCCAAACTTGGCCCCCTGCCCTTGATCCCAACTGCCCTGCCTTTGACGCAACACCCTGCCCTTGACCCCGGCTGTTCTGCCCTTGACGTTAGCTATCTTGCCACTGACCCCAGACACCCTGTCCTTGACCCCAGCCACTTGCCCTTGACCCCAGCCACCTGCCCTTCCTGCCTCCAGCTGTATCCTGCTTGTCCCATGGTTGCTCCTTCTCTTGGCCTGTCTCCCGGAGGTCCCCTCGGCTCCTCCGTTTCTATCACCCAAGCGCTGCTTATGTGTTGCTTGTTAGCTCCGTCTGAGTTGTGGGAGGGCAGAGGGACCTTTTCTGCCAGTGTCCAGCTCTTCTCCTCGGTTAGCACATTGGAGGCATCAGCAAACACTTGTTGCATGGACAGATGGGTGCCTCCCAGCAGCAGGTGGTTCTGTGTTCTGGTTCTGATTGGTGAAGGACTGAGCCAGGGTGATTTCTGTAACGGGGGAATCTCTGAAACTGTGGTAGTCACTGATTTTGACCTCGCCATCAGTGGGTGAAAACAGGAGAATCATCGTGTGGTGAGAACACACACACACATACATACTCACACAACCCACACACACCCACCCCGCACACGCACAAACACACATGCACCCACACCCACATCCTCCCCCCACAACACACAGACTACACACCACACATACACCACACACGCAAATATACACACGCATACACACACATACACATACCACACACACATATACGCATACCACACACACCCACGCACCCACCTCCACCCCCCACACACACATACACACACCAAGCACACAAATATACACACACCACACACACAAATATACACACACACCACATACCACATATACATGCATACCCATATGCACATACACATACACCACACACACACATACACATGCCACACACACATACACATACACACATGCACCACACACCCACACACGTACACACACACCACACACACATACACCACACATGCACACACACACCACGCATATACACCACACACACCACATGCACACACACCATACACACACACACACCTTACGTACATACACACACCACAAGCACACGCATACATGCACACACAAGCACACACACCACATACAGACACGTGAGTTTTTAAATTTTTATTGTGGTACTTGATCGTTTTTCCTCTTAGCTTCTTATTCATTTAGTACTTTGTGGCAGGCAGCCTGGGAGGAGGTGGAGGTGGCACTGGGAGGAGGTGGAGGTGGCACCGTGAGAAGGGCAGGAGCCACCGCCCCGGGGGTCCAGGAGGGGATGGGGGGGCCATGCTGTGCTCAGCAGCTGTGCCAAGGAGCCTGAAGGAAGGCTGCAGAGCCAGGGTGAAGGGGACAGGAAGAATGGACCAGATTTCCCAGAGCCGTTTTCTGCAGCGGGCAGGGGATGCTGTCCCCAGGGGCTATGCTTGGGTCGGGGATGCAGGCTCTGGTATCCGTCCGGCATGTTCTGCTGCCCAGGTATGTTCTGCTTCAGCTGCTGCCCCCGAGGAAGGAGGCCCGCTCCATCTGTGAGCACCCATTCTTGAGGCATCTGTGCATCTGACTTGTGGAGTCTTTGTGGGTCTTTCTGAAACCCTAGAACAGTTTCTCAAAAGAGCAGCCACGCAGGCCGGGCGCAGTGGCTCACGCTTGTAATGCCAGCACTTTGGGAGGCCCAGGCGGG